AGCGGTAACTCCATTAACAGAGATTTGTATGTCATCCCCAGCAGCATTTAGGAAATTACCTCAGATGTCTCTCCTTGGCACTCCATCTCATACAGCACTTTTTCAGATAAGCACTCCTTGGATTACTTCCTTGTCTCCCTTCTAGGATATTAAGGCAAAGCCCATTTGGTTTGACTCCCTGGGCTCTGGCACGCAGTACATGCTCAGTAAATGCCGGGGTGGATGACAGACAGATGTGTTCCAGGATCTGAGGTGGGAGTGGTGGTTATAACTTGTAAAAAAGTAATTACCGAAGTAAGTTCAGATGTTCTTGAATGAATGAATACTTGGGGACTGTGGGTTAGTGGCAAGAGAGGGGAAGGGGGTGTTGAGAGAAGTACAGGAGCTAGGAGACACCTTAGGATAGATGCACTGCAGCTCCTTCAAGAAAGGGACCAAGTCTGCTAGTTCCAGAAACTTCCTGGCTGTGGCCCCCAGCAGGCTCAGCCGGTCTTCCGCCTCCCCTCCCCTCCTCTTTCCTTCCATCTCCCCACCCTACTCACTGTCATAATAAAAAGGCTGAGTCTGATACACGTTCAGAGTAAGAACCCAGGAATTCTCAGTTCACTGCTCCCCAGATATTTTCCTAATAAAGATTTGGATCAGAAACTACTGTAGTGTGATGAAAACCTGACTCGTGACTGGCACATTCTTATGTACAAAGGCTGAGGATGAGAAAGGATTTAATTGAAAGGTGGGGAGGGGACTCAGAGCACTGGGGACCTGGTAAGAGGTAACCCCAGAAGGGAAGGGGCCACTCTGGGAGATGTTAGATTTGCTTGGTGAGCCAGCCTTGTGTTTAGTTAGGCCCAGACAACTCTGGCTGCTCGCTGAGCTGGTTTTAGCTGTGAACACAAAGCCAGACATCTCTGCATTGCATGATTTAGGAAAGATTATCTTTTCCATACCGACTTCTTATAATTTAAGATTATAATCAGTAGATGAAATCACAAGGGCTGTAAATCAAAATAATTTATGATTTCTTGGTTTTTAAAAACGTCTCATTTTAAGAATGAGTTATAACCTTTACTTGCTTATCATTGTCCATTTTTAAGCACATTTTATGAAAAAGGAGAAATTGCAAATGTGTATTTTACTTCATCAGCATACAAGGTGCATGCATGATTTATGTTGTTGAAATCCTTTAGAATTGAGGCATTTATGTAGTTCCAAAGGCCACAAGAAAAATTAGAAGCTATGTATCCTTTTCTCTCCCTTTAAAAAAAATTCACAATGACTTTTAAAATATATAAAAGCATAAACAATAGTTAAAACCATCAGACATCCTGCTTTACGTAGAATTCACAAAAAAACACAGTTGAAGAATAAAATAGCGCCCAGGCCGGCGGAGGTGGGGGCCGTGCACAAGGTGGGGCTGCTGCGTTCGGCTCTGCCCGGCTGCTCCCCCCTGGCCCCCTGCCGCGGACGTCTGGAAAGCCTCACCGTGCTGAGCCTGGGAGCTCCGCGCCCCGACTGGGTATCTGGTCAGCCTTTTAAGGCCCTAGAGGACACGACTCTGTGCTCTGGGGACAGGAGCGAAGAGCTGTGGAGCAGCCATTGGTACTTGTACTGGGAAAACATAGCATACAAGCAAGAAGCTGACAGCCTGAGTGGCGAAAATGTTTTTCATGTCAGAGACCGAGAACTCTTGCAGTTATGTCAAACCTTTTCCAGATAGAAGATAGCAAAAAGTTGCAATCGAAGATCTTTTCATCTCATTGATAAAGCCACTAATAAGCCAGTGTCACCACAGTGCGTCTGACCAGTTCTATCGCTACAAGATGCCTTGTCTGATTGCCAAGGTTGAGGGCAAAGAAAATGGAATTAAGACAGTTCTAGTCAACGTGGTTGATGTTGCAAAGGCACTTAATCAGCCTCCAGTGTATACAAGACCTGCTGGATGGATTCATTAAAAATTTGTTCTCTGACCTGAGTGAGAATCCTGAAGCAAACAGTAGGTACTTCTTGTTAAAGCTTGTGGCTATGGAGTAGGCTGCACCCACATCATAAACTCTAAACATTCATTCTCAAAAACCTACCTGAGAATAGTGATAGTGGTGCAAGAAAGAAAGAAAAGGAAGAGAAAAATAAAGGGCAAAGACAAGGAAAACGGTTCCCTGTCCAGCAGTGAGAGACCACCACGACCACCAGCAGCAGCAGGTGAAGTCAGCTCTCTTCCGCCTGCTGTGGGAGAAGAGGAGGGGGACCGGGGTGGGGGGAGGACACAGCTGAAGAAGCCCAGAGGTGCAGAATGGGTGATATCAGTGACCAGACAAAGGTGACACTCAGCGATTTGGAGAAGACTGTTGAAGAGTGGGCCAATAACCTGTTTTGTTTTTGTAAATAAAAGGAAAAGACAGTATTATTGACTCATCTGACAAATTGTTGCTGAAGCAGAAAGGCTAGATGTAAAGGCCTTGGGCCCTCTTGTTTGACAGAAGTTCTTTTTAGTAAGATTAGAGAACAAATTAAAAAATGCAGGCTCCATGTCCGGCGATTTTGTCACAACAACCAAAAACCTCGGTGGTGTTTTCTGCACGGTTTGGAGCGTGTGGAAGCAGGGCGCCAAGGGCAGTGCATCCCCAGGAGTGCACATGTCTTGAAGGAGAGTATGATGCAGACCTTCCAGGAGAGGTCATCATCACTGGTCAGAAAAGGCCTCGAAGAAATACGTCTAGGAAGAACCTGCCTAGGAGGTTCGTGTCACAGCAAAACCATTTATATAATGGTTGAAGGAGGCAGAGGAGGAGCCCTCTGGTGGGGAAGATGATGAAGATGAGAATATTGAGGTGGTCTATCGAAGGCTGCCAGTGTACCAAAAGTTGAAACTGTGAAGTCAGACAAGGATGACAGCATTGATACTGATGCCATTTAAAGGGGTGGGTGCAGCCCAGCTGCACAGTGTAATGCTGCACATCTTTTTGCATCAGCCAGAAATGCAACATGTATGTGCAAAAGCTAAAATGGCTTATCATCATGCTACACTTCCTACTACAAATGCATGGCTGTGAGGGGTCTGTAACTAAGCCCAACAAGACATCTAGGAATCCATACACATATCAGTAAGCAGAAGTAGTTTGCTTATTTATAGCATATTTCTTTTTGAAAAATCATTGGTGGACACATTTGGATCACATTTATATGGTTATGAAAATAAAGATTTGATTTTGGTCATTTTTCAAATAATAAAATAGCAAGCATGATTTATTTATTGAATAATACTTGTCTCACTATAAGATCATAATGAAAGAGAGGAAATCCTTAGAGTTACATCATATAGCAAAAAAATAAAAAAATAAAATGGTAGAGGTGATATTTATTCATAATAAATATCAGATTTATTCAGACAATGAAAAAGTACCAGCTTTATTCAGACAATGAAACTTGGAGATTTCTGGAGTGCCGTGCCAGTTGGCAGGAGTGTATTATGATTTAATGGTGTCTCTCTGCTGCATTTGACGAGCTGTCCTAAGAAAACATTGTGAAGCAATAAGCATCCATTTGGCTCTTAAGTAATGGGGAAGGCATTGCTATTTTCATTAACTATTTATTCAGGAAGAGAAGAACCTACTGCTAATAAGCTTTATCTAGGGTAGTGGAAAACAGAAGAAAATGCACAAGTGAGGTTCTGTTCAATTTCATGTGCAATTAACAAAATACCCAAATCTGAACCATTGGTGTTCCTCTCCCATGTGATTTCTGGCTGGCTGTATTTAAGGGTGAGTGCCTGTCAGATCTATTAAAGGAGTCTTGCTTTAAGGAAGGTTGTGTAGCCTAAACTCATGACAGAAGAGGAGGCATTGACTGGTGAGTAGCTAAGACCAGGCTGATCTCTGTAGTTTTGAATAATGAACTTACTTTCTAAAATGAACAGCAGTGATTGAGGCTTGCCAGTTTACTCCTTTTGGGACAGGTTTCTTTGTTTTGTTTTAGATGACTATTGCCTTTCCATGACTTTGAAAATCTCTATAATGAAATATGTAGAATGTCACTGGATCAGATGGCTTTTAAACTTGAGGAAATTTATGTGCTGTATAAAGTATATAATTCATTATTTGGAAATGGTATGTAGGAATGTAGTATTTTGCTCTTCCGTATGAAGTAAATGGTTCCTTCTTTGCAGTAAATGCTTAGGATTTAGCATACTTCAAGGTTACAACCAGAATATTGTATTCACACATAAATAGGGGCTTCTTTCAAGTCATTTCAGAGTCTTACTTTGAAGTACTTTTGGTACTAAAACAACATGAAGTTTTCACTCAACTTGCTGTAAGATTCTTAATATAATTAATTTGTGTTCTTTGGTGATACGAAAAAAGGGTGAGTCACAATTATTTTTTCCCCTTTAAGCCAGCTAAAGAACTTAAATGCAATTCTTTTTCTCTGCTCTCCCTAAAGAGTAATACAGTGAAGCTCTACTCTGTGGGGAAAAAAATCCATCATGTAAATCATATTAAAATAGACAACGGGAAAGATATGTAAGCCCAATATTATTTAATAACAATATTCTTGATACCATTGCAAACCAATTATGCAGTCATTGAGTATTGCATTCCTTTGGTTAGCAGTTTTCTTTACAATTTTCCATATTGAAAGCTATGTATTAATTCTAAGCTTACTATGAATTATTTTCAAGTAAATTTAAAATCAGTTTTCAAGATGTATTCCATGAGATAAGAATACATTGTTTGGGTTCATAGCCTTTGATAAAGGCTGGCAATCCTGTTAAGTACCTAACAGTGAGATCAAAGACAAGAAAAAGCTCCTTAGAATTTTTTGTTTCTAGACCACATTGTATCATAGTCCCGGAACTAAATTCATTCATGTTACAGAGAATCTTTCTTATCAAGGAGATAAACACTCAGAGATTAGAAATGAAATTACTTTGTTAGATTGTCAGGTTTTGCAGTCATCATTCTTGTGGGTTATAAACAATCATTAGATTGAATTATCCCTCTCAGATAATCACTCCATTCAGAAGACTGATGCTGTGTGCTGAGAACAGAAAGGAGATGGAGGATTGGATCAGTTCACTGAAGTCTGTACAGACCAGAGAACCTTACGAGGTAAAGTAGTATCTCTGCTGTTGCCTCATGTTTGTAGGGAATAAATGTTAACCGAAGAGCTAAGGCTATCTTCTGCATTAAAAAAAAAATATATATGTGCAGATTTGTTCAGCAACTTGTTTAAACCTGATACTAAGATTTTTTTTTTTACTTAAAGCAAAATTGAAGTTTTTAATCAAAATTTTCATTTTAAGTTACAGATTTGTAATTTTAATCCTTAACTGAATGCATTCCAAATGTTAAACATTGTAGTCTTGCTGCTTTGTTTGGCCAATCTGTGCTAATGTGTCATTTCTAGGTGGCCCAGTTTAATGTGGAACATTTCTCAGGGATGCATAACTGGTACGCCTGCTCCCATGCCCGACCCACTTTCTGTAACGTGTGCAGAGAGAGTCTTTCTGGAGTCACCTCCCATGGCCTGTCCTGTGAAGGTACTGTAGCTCCCTCCACACTGACCCCACTCTGAATACACGGCCGCGGGTACTGCTGGGAAGTGAACAGAGGAGCATCCTCACAGGAAACACTGCACCTGTGTGGAAGCTGTAGCTGGGAACATCTCAGCTGGAGCTCTAAGTGGAGCTCTGCACTAACTTGGGAAACAGTTTTGCTGAGGAAAAGCTAATACATTATTTGAAAGGTTGTACAAATCAAAATGTAGCATTTCACACCAGAGGAACTAGAAACTACTGTTGAAAAAGAAAATCTTTAGTGTGTATTTTAGTTTTCTAGTATTCTTTTTCTGTTCTGACTGATTATGGAGAGCAAGACTTTCTGTGAGGAAAGAATATACTCTTGGGCAGAATTTCTGATTGCTACTTATATTTCAATGTTGTGAATGTTTTATTTCATTTATATTTAGATGGATGGCATGCTTTTTAATTTATTGAAGTTTTCTATAAGACCTATGCTATTGTTTTCATTATAGAATTTGTGGGTTTATTAGTAAACAAAAGAGTGACCATTAAAAGGAGATAACACTAATAATTACCACAAGAAAACTCATAACTTCTTTAGATTTAATTTTATACCTCCATGATCACACCAATATGGACTATTTTTTGAACCAAATATAATACTAATACTACCTTTTTTCTCTAATACAAAAAAATTCTCAAAAATTTTTAATATAACTTTATTATAATTAAATAATAAAATAGTAATAGAGTTATCGTTTTAGTTCATTTTGAATTATAAAATCTGCGATATATCATTATTTCAGCAATTTACTGTGATGCAGCATAGTGGTTACGACTAGAGTTCTGCACGTTAACCATCGTGGTTCCAGGTCCACTTCTGGCATTACACGCTGTGACCAAGAAAAGTAGTTGAACTCTTTTGAGACTTTTGTTTCCTCATCTGTAAAATGGGATACTAGTCACATCTCACAGAACACCATGAAAATTAAATGGGCAGATACATAGACTAAAACTAGTTTTCTAGCCAAATAAATTATAGAACTTTGTAATTGTTCTGTGACAAATCTATCAAGTGAATAATCATAGGTTGCACCAAGGCCTGATGCATTAAAATTCATAAAAACAAACATTTGGAGGAGTAGTTAAACTTTTTTTTTTTTTTTAGATTTAAGAATGATCACACAAAAATGTGTAATTGGCCCTTACGACTTCAGTAGTTTCAAAGGGTTCCTGTAGCTCTGAGTTACTTCCATCAGGTCTGGAACGTTATGTGGTGTTATTTTGAAGGTCTTTTTACGATTGCCTTCTAGTCTCTAATCCCAAAATGCTAAAAATGATAACAGGGCTGAGATACTCTAATATTCTTTCGATTTCTGACTTGAGAGTTCTCTCTTACTAAATACATTGAATTGTTTAAGAATTGAGGTTTACAGTGGGATGACTAAATATTTTTCTAAGCATTTTATGAGACTGACACACTACCTACTGTGCTAACAAGGCACCTGTTTTTTCTAAGCATTTTAAAAGAAAAATGAAAATTACATTAGCTGATGAGAATAAGAAACTTAAAAGTCTTTAAATAAACTTGTTATTCTAGTAGTAATGAAGTCTTGACTTTTTCTTAAATCTCAAACTATTGTATTTTTAAGTTATATTTTAGAGGAATATATGTTAATATTCACTTTCTCTGCTGATAAAATTTTTCAAATCTGTGGCATTTTGTCATCAATATTTTTAGAACTGTAGCAGGAGGTTTGAAAATCCCGTGTTTTATGAATATACTTAAATATACTTAAGTTGCCTTTTTGTGAGAATAGGGTTATTTAGGATATTTTTTTATAACCCAAGTAATTCTCAAACTTTAGAAGCCTCAAAAACCTGAATAAAGTGTTTACTTGATTAAACCATAGAGATAGGCTACAAGAGGCTTTAAAAATTGACAGAGATGTGTATTAGAGAAAAATTAATTCAATAGTGACAACGAATAACTTTTTATTAGAAAGAAATCCAGCCTCTGGTGTGTGAAGACATCACTAAATTTATCTTTCTGACCTTATTCTTCACAATAAAATGAAGCCGTACTGATTTGTCTTTTGGGTTTGTGTTGAATAATAACTAAAGTTATTATTTTAGAGCTTTGTATATATAAAATATATGAATGAAAAATAGAAGACAAAAAACAGTTTTCATAAGTAATCCCCCAAATTAATTGAGAATTTTAATTATAATTTCAGAGCATAATTGTTCTTCAGTTATTTAAACACTATTTTAACAAAAAAAAATGTTAATTTGTGATTTTAAAAAATCAACAGCATCAAATAATATCAATATGGATACCTACAAATTTTTATCTTGACCACTGTTGAACACTTATAAAGATTCAATGTGGTAAAGACTGGGTATTGAACAAAAATCTCTTAATTTTGTTACACGTCAGTGTATTTTTTAAGTTCTGTGGTTTCAGAATAATAGTTTTATAGGTAAGGGAAAGTGCTTTATTAGAGAATAACTTGTTTGGAGAAATTTAATTGTCACCTAACAAAGTTAAGGTGTCTTTTAATATTTCCATTCCTGAGTGACCGTAATTATAGTCTGGTTTGTTTTATTACTATTATTATATGTTTAATTAAGCATCTTTGCAATTCTCAAGGCTCATTGCATGAAGCACTTGACTGTTTCAAAAGTGTGATTTTTATTTTTGATGATCTGTTTAATTTTTAATGGCAAAATGGTCAAAAAGCCATGAAATTATATCCTGTGCCCTCTTTTACTTCCTTCCTTTCCTTTTAGAAAAGTTATAAACTGTTAATATCGAGTACTTATTTATACATAAAAATCAGCCTGAGGATTATGTTGGAGATAAAACTAAAACTAGGGCCACACTTTTAAGAAATATAGTTAACAGATGAAAAGGCCTAGAGACACTAACTCATCAGTTTTAAAACAGTCATTTGTATTGGAGCAAAAAAGAGCAGGGTATGCCAAAATTGTTTTTCAAACTTAGCTTACTTCCTGTAGTGCTGTTTCTTTACACAATTGTTTATCAGCAATAAAATTCAACTGAAAAATAGTGCATTCTATATGGAGTCTGTGCTCAAGTCACAAGATCATTTATCTCACAAATGGTAGGATTTCCAGGCAAGAATTTGTAAATGGACACAATGTGGTGAAACGTTTCCAGTGTCTGATATTTTTCAAGGGAAAACCAGCTTAGTGTAAGTGACCCTTTATATGTTGGCCATTCATGATACCCGACACATTTTAAACATTTAGCTATAGACATCTTAGTTATTTTACCTGACCCTTTTCGTTTTTATGGTGTATCAAATTAGGACTTTAAAAAGAATGGTGTGTAATCCATCATTTCAAAAATTTTTTAGTGCTTTACTGTTAGAAATCTAAAAATCATGTGAAAAGGAGCTACCTTACATTTAGAATTTAGTAGCCATTACCTTATATATTTCCACTGAAGTGATCTCTACTTCCAAATATTTATCTGGAAAGCCAGACACTGGTATAACATCAGTCTCCACTAATGCCTGGATAATTTGTGTCCTTAGAAGGATAAATAAGCTTAGTAGTCAAGTTGTGATTTTCATAAGCAAGGGTTAACTTTTCAAATCCGTGGTTTACTTGTTTCGTCATACATTTCATATTTCCTTCCTGGTTGTTACCTCTTATTTCTCTCTTTTTTATTCTGATATTTGCATATATTTCAAAATGATCACCATTATAAGTATAGTTAACACCCATCACCATACACAGTTACAGAATTTTTTCTTATGGTGAGAACTTCTGAGATATACTCTTAGTAATTTTCAAAAATGACTATAGTCACCATGATGTACATTACATCCCCAGCACTTAACTTCTTTTATAACTGGAAGTGTATACCTTTTGATCACCTTCACCCATTTCATCATTCCCACCTCTAGCAACCACCAGCCTGTTCTATCTATGAGCTTGTTTTTGTTTCTGTTGTTCAGATTCCATGTATAAGGGAGATCATACAGTATTTGTCTTTCTCTGTCTTATTTCACTTAGCATAATGTCCTCAAGGTCCGGTCCATCCATGTTGTTGCAAATGGCGAGATTTCATTCTTTTTTATGACTGAGTAATATTCCATTGTGTGTGTGTATGTGCGTGCATGTGTGTGTGTGTATACACCACATCTTTATCCCTTCATGCATTGGTAGACACTTGGTTTGTTTCATATCTTGATGAATTGCTGGATCACATGGTAGTTCTATTTTTAATTGTTTTGGCAACCTCCATACTGATTTTCATAGTAGCGACACCAATTTACATTCCCACTAACAGCACATGACAGTTCCCTTTTTTCCACATCCTTGCCAGTATTTATAATTTGTCTTTTTTGATAATAACAATTCTAATAGGTATGAGGTGCTATCTCACTGTGGTGTTGATTTACATTTCCCTGATGATTAGTGATGTGGAGCATCTTCATGTGTTTGTTGGCTATCTGTATGTCTTTCTTGGAAAAATGTCTGTTTAGATCCTCTGCCCATTTTTTAACTGGATTGTTTGTGTTTTTGCTGTTGAATTGTGCCAGGAATCATTATATATTTTAGACATATGAGAGAGAAATATGATTTAAAAACATGTTTTCCCATTTATTAGTTGCCATTTCATTTTGTTGATGTTTTCTTTTGCTGTGCAGAAGATTTTTAGTTTGATATAGTCCCATTTACTTATTTTTTGCTTTCGTTCCCTTTGCCTTTGGTCAAATCCAAAAGATCATCACTGCCACTGATGCCAACAGGCCAACTGCCTTTGTTTTCTTCTAGGAATTTTATGGTTTCAGGTCTTACTTTCAAGTGTTTAATCCCTTTTTAGTTAATTTTTGTGTGTTGTGTAAGACAGTAGTGCAGTTTCATTCTTTTGCATGTAGCAGTTCAGTTTTGCCAGCACCATTTATTGAAGAAACTGTCCTTTCCCCACTGTACATGCTGGGCTTCTTTGTTGTAAATTAACTGATCATACGTGCATGGGTTTGTTTCTTGGCTCTCTCTTCTGTCCACTGATCTGTCTGTTTTAATACCGATAACATACTATTTTGATTCCTATAGCTTTGTAATATAGTTTGAAATTAGGGTGATGCCTCGCCTCCATCTTTGTTCTTCTTTCTCAAGATTGCTTTGACTACTTGGGGTTTTTTGTGGTTCCATATAAATTTTAGAATTTTTTATTACAATTCTGTGAAAAGTGCCATTGGAATTTTGTCAGGCATTGCATTGAATCTCTAGATTGCTTTAGATACTATGGGTATCTTAACAATATTAATTTTTCCAGTCCATGAGCATGGAATATTTTTCCATTTGTTTGTGTCTTCCATTTATCTCATCAATGTCTTACAGTTTTCAGTGTCTTTTATTTCTCTTTTATAGGCTCCTTTATAACATGGCTGGGGAAAATTAATGATGCATATACTGGGAGCATCACTTCATCATTCCTTTTTTCTACATTATAATATACTCATTCTAACATAATACTTCTAAAAGACAGTGCCATCTTTGTGGCCTTTATCAGCCTATTTCCCATGATGTCTGGATATTTTCTGGACGTACTTGCACTTTATCATGCAACCTCCATACTGATTTTCATAGTAGCGACACCAATTTACATTCCCACTAACAGCACATGACAGTTCCCTTTTTTCCACATCCTTGCCAGTATTTATAATTTGTCTTTTTTGATAATAACAATTCTAATAGGTATGAGGTGCTATCTCACTGTGGTGTTGATTTACATTTCCCTGATGATTAGTGATGTGGAGCATCTTCATGTGTTTGTTGGCTATCTGTATGTCTTTCTTGGAAAAATGTCTGTTTAGATCCTCTGCCCATTTTTTAACTGGATTGTTTGTGTTTTTGCTGTTGAATTGTGCCAGGAATCATTATATATTTTAGACATATGAGAGAGAAATATGATTTAAAAACATGTTTTCCCATTTATTAGTTGCCATTTCATTTTGTTGATGTTTTCTTTTGCTGTGCAGAAGATTTTTAGTTTGATATAGTCCCATTTACTTATTTTTTGCTTTCGTTCCCTTTGCCTTTGGTCAAATCCAAAAGATCATCACTGCCACTGATGCCAACAGGCCAACTGCCTTTGTTTTCTTCTAGGAATTTTATGGTTTCAGGTCTTACTTTCAAGTGTTTAATCCCTTTTTAGTTAATTTTTGTGTGTTGTGTAAGACAGTAGTGCAGTTTCATTCTTTTGCATGTAGCAGTTCAGTTTTGCCAGCACCATTTATTGAAGAAACTGTCCTTTCCCCACTGTACATGCTGGGCTTCTTTGTTGTAAATTAACTGATCATACGTGCATGGGTTTGTTTCTTGGCTCTCTCTTCTGTCCACTGATCTGTCTGTTTTAATACCGATAACATACTATTTTGATTCCTATAGCTTTGTAATATAGTTTGAAATTAGGGTGATGCCTCGCCTCCATCTTTGTTCTTCTTTCTCAAGATTGCTTTGACTACTGGGGGTTTTTTGTGGTTCCATATAAATTTTAGAATTTTTTATTACAATTCTGTGAAAAGTGCCATTGGAATTTTGTCAGGCATTGCATTGAATCTCTAGATTGCTTTAGATACTATGGGTATCTTAACAATATTAATTTTTCCAGTCCATGAGCATGGAATATTTTTCCATTTGTTTGTGTCTTCCATTTATCTCATCAATGTCTTACAGTTTTCAGTGTCTTTTATTTCTCTTTTATAGGCTCCTTTATAACATGGCTGGGGAAAATTAATGATGCATATACTGGGAGCATCACTTCATCATTCCTTTTTTCTACATTATAATATACTCATTCTAACATAATACTTCTAAAAGACAGTGCCATCTTTGTGGCCTTTATCAGCCTATTTCCCATGATGTCTGGATATTTTCTGGACGTACTTGCACTTTATCATTCCTCTGAATTATCCTGTTCTTTTTCTTGCTGATATTTTCAAACTTTTTCTTTTAAGTATATGTTCAGAAAAACACATATATCAGAAGCACACAGCTCATTGGATGTTTAACAAATTAAATACTTACATAATCAGCACCCAGATTCAGAAGTAGGATGTTACCAGCACCTCCACATTCTCTGTGTGAGTGTTGCCTCCTTTCTCCTCAAGGAACAATTCCTTTATCTCCTTTTTCTTCTTCTTTTCTGAGTAAGTAGAATCTTTCTAAGTAGCAATCCGTAGCTTGATAAAAGCGCTTCAAAACGCATAGCTGTATAGCTCTTTAGAATACTGTTAATATTGCTGAGGAGTAATTTAAACTTTTTAAAATATTGTTTTCCTTCCTTTCCCCGAGCCCTTTAAAATTTCATGCTTTGATTTCCTTTCATTATTGGTCCAAAAGTACATATTCCTTTAGAAATGGTTGACTTTTTTTTTTTTTAGTGTGTAAATTCAAGGCTCACAAAAGGTGCGCCGTGAGGGCGACAAACAACTGCAAGTGGACGACCCTGGCCTCCGTCGGGAGGGACGTCATAGAGGACGAAGACGGGGTAAGCCTGCTCTCCCTGATCTTCCCAGCACCCTCTCTTCTATTTTCTGCCCTGAGGAAAATGATGACAGAGTTAAGCGGGAGTGTTTACTTTTAGAGAAGGTTTGGATAATTATGAATTTTCATTTCAATTAGATTCCTCTAAGGTCCCTTGAGCTCTCAGATTTTAAGGGAAATGAATAGGACTTAGGAGTGTTTGTCATGCTGGGCTCGTGGTGTAGTCTCTTACTGACAAATTAAAATGTTCTTTAAGGCTTAGTGAAGCTGTTTCTTCAGAAGTTCACTCCTCAGACTTTGCAGCCTCCCCTCAGCAGAGCCTTCTCCTTCAAAACCGTGCCTCTGTTGCACCGTGCATACAAGTCTCTGGTAGCCCTTTGTGATCACTTTATGTTAACGCCTTTAGGTGTCTTGCTTCTAAGCTAGACTACAAATCTTGAAGGGCAGGGAATTAGTCTCACATATCATTGTAAACCTACAGTGCTGGGAGCTTAATACATGCTCATTAAACTTGGGGTAAATGAATGGATATCATGAATGATAATACTATGGATTCCATAGAGAAAGGACTAATTTTGTCTTCCCTAGGATAAGAATGATGTCCTCCACAGTCTTTAGTTTGACTTCTCTCTATCCCTGCTGTACAGGTCGCTATGCCTCACCAGTGGCTCGAGGGTAACTTGCCTGTGAGCGCCAAGTGTGCTGTCTGTGACAAAACATGTGGCAGTGTTCTCCGTCTCCAAGATTGGAAATGCCTTTGGTGTAAAACGATGGTGAGTGTCCCTTTAATTAGTTTATTGTCATAACTTTTCCATCTGTGTGATTTAGAGGCAAAGAATTTATGGCACAGCAGAGCCCAATAGTGCACAGACCCATTTTTTAATGTTCTTTAAAGTATATTCCTTCCAGTTTGGTTACTTTACAAATGTCCTTTCTGTAATACTTACTCTTGCTATATAGTTCCTTAGTCTAAAGATCTCTTTGCCACAGGTTTATTGTTTTTCATTTTGCTTTAGCCACACTCAGTGGTTTGTTGCCTGTGAGCGCCAAGTGTGCTGTCTGTGACAAAACATGTGGCAGTGTTCTCCGTCTCCAAGATTGGAAATGCCTTTGGTGTAAAACGATGGTGAGTGTCCCTTTAATTAGTTTATTGTCATAACTTTTCCATCTGTGTGATTTAGAGGCAAAGAATTTATGGCACAGCAGAGCCCAATAGTGCACAGACCCATTTTTAATGTTCTTTAAAGTATATTCCTTCCAGTTTGGTTACTTTACAAATGTCCTTTCTGTAATACTTACTCTTGCTATATAGTTCCTTAGTCTAAAGATCTCTTTGCCACAGGTTTATTGTTTTTCATTTTGCTTTAGCCACACTCAGTGGTTTGCTATTTTCAAGCATTTTACCACCTGTTGCAACCAGAAAGCCACCAAATTGTACTGACATGCAAAGTGTAATTGTGCTGCAGTCCTGAGTGTGTTCCATGACAGAATGCTAGTTTAGGAGGCCACGCACTGATGTAATTTAAATGATATGCACTTATAGAATATAAATAAGTAAATATTTTTAAACTTCCCTTCACGTGCAAGAAAACAGCAAGAAGCCCACCCAGCATAATGTAGAGCCGCTGGCAAGGATTGGTCCTGTCTGTGTCAGGCTGTGTGAGGACTAGGCCTCAGGTCTGCATGAGGGCAGTCAGAGCAGGAACCTCAGTGAGCTCAGAGAGTGGCAAGGGGCCAGGAGGCAATAGCTGTGAGTGCCCATCTTACCCCTGGGCCATGCTTCCAGCTATGACAGTTTTGAGTCTTGGAAGTCAGCAACCTCCCCACCCAAAAGGTGCGAAAACCATTGCTTTCCATAGCAGCAGTGCAGGTCAGCAAATGTAAGAGATGTGAATTATGATAACGTTGATTTCATAATCAATGAGATTGATTCCATTGGCCGCAGAGGAAAAGAAGTCCAGCAGTTGTTTAGTCAGACCTGATAGGAATCTGTTTCCTTTTTATTTTTAAATCAAATGTAATTCTTTGTCCTCAGGCTTTTGTTATTCTTCATCTGGTGCCTCCTTTTTTAGTCATAGGTGTTACTTTTTCTTTCTCTTACCCTATTTAATATAACACACAGACTATATTAGATATCTCTCTTCGGAGTTTTGATGCAACCCTCACCCCTAAGACCTCTTATGCCAGTGCTTATTTTAAAAGAGTGTTGTAAGATACAATTTTAAAGTTAAATAAATATGTAAATAAATAACAATAATGCTCCCATAAGTAAGGTTTTAAATCTTCATCTCACCTAAGATTTGTTTTTTGGGGGACAACTGCTCATGTATGCATCCACTGTTATTTTTATTAGTCTGTACATTTACTGAGGTGTCCTTCTCTACTTCTAGAACTTTAGATGTTCTTCTCTAACTTTTTAGAAAGAAAACATGAGATTAATTATTTTAGAAAGGTTTTGTATCATTTGTCTTTACCTGTCCCTACTTTCATTTAATCAGTAGTTTTAACTAACAGTAGGAGTTAATTAGGTTTTTTTTACTGATTTTCTCAAGACCACCATTTAAAAGTTTCACAAATAGGATAATAGTATTATTACAGATTATAGAAGGGGGCATTCTGAGATGTTTTTCCCCCCACCTTTTTCCTGGCAAACTTGAATGTCACCTTATTAAGAAATCATTCCTGCCCCCATGTTCATTAGATATGTGGGCTTCTGAGCCACTGTCACCTTTGTTATATCCCTCTACTTAGTCTTATACTTCTTATATACTATCATTTATCTGTTTACATATTATTTTGTTGTTAAATATGAGTTTTTCACAGCAGAATATCTAGTTTCTAAACATAGTCATCTAGTTCAAAACAAAACAAAACCGTACTTCATAACCCTAATGAGTCAACTCCTAAGTTTTCCTGTCTCTGAACATAGTATCTTTACAGTGAGAATAGTGAAGATAAAATTGTATGTCCTGCTTTTCTCATCTAACATTATTATAAATATTTTTGTTCTGCTCTGTGATTCTCATACTTTTTATTCCTTTTAAAACTATCTGTGCATGCGTGTTTTCCAAAATCCATTTGGATTTCCTGATTATTATAAATTATAATAGAAAACAATCCAAAATTAGGTCATCAGAATAAGAGTCACTATTAAATTTTGGTTATTTTCCCAAAAGATTTGATAAAGATGTGTTTAATTAATATGCACTTTTCTAAAAGGACTAACATAATAAAGCCATATTAACCAAGTGCTTTGTGAAGAGTCTGCTTTCACTGCTTCAGACATTTAAAGGCTCTGTAAGTAAGTGCATAAAGCATTCTAAATTGCCTGAGGTCCACTTGGTAAGTGAGCCCTGCTTTTGATCTCAATAGCATCTTGAATAACCTTGCAACATTTTGCTTCTACAGAGTTAACATATTTACTAACTGCCTGTACTGTGTATTATCACTTTCCAAGTTGAGTTTGCAGCAATAGGACCTTTTCATTTGCCTCACAGAGCTTGAAATCTAGCTGAGAAAATAGGCATGGACGTGCTTATAACTACGGTAACATGAAAATGTTAAAACACAGGTGTGAATAGAAAGAGGATCACTGCAGAAAAGAACAGACACATTACAAGCTTCATTTACTTTCATTAAGTTCTATAAGGATATTATGAGGTAGATGTCATTGATTTGTTTTTTCCAAAAGTTTTTTTTTATTTTGGTATCATTAATATGCAATTACATGAGCAAAATTGTGGTTACCAGATTCCCCCCATTATCAAGTCCCCATCATATATCCCCCATTGCAGTCACTGTCCATCAGCGTAGTAAGATGCTATATAGTCATTACTTGTCTTCTCTGTGCTATACTGCCTTTCCTGTACCCGCCACTACATTATGAGTGCTAATCATAATGCCCCTTAGTCCCCTTTCCCTCCCTTCCCACCCCAACCCCACCTCCAGCCCTTTCCCTTGGCAACTATTAGTCCATTCTTGGGTTCTGTGAGTCTGCTGCTATTTTGTTCCTTCAGTTTTTGCTATGCTCTTATGCTCCACAGAGGAGTGAAATCATTTGGTACTTGACCTTCTCCACCTGGCCCACTTCACTGAGCATAATACCCTCTAGCTTCATCCATGTTGTTGCAAATGGTACAATTTGTTTTCTTCTTATGGCTGAATAATATTCCATTGTGTATATGTACCACATCTTCTTTATCCATTCATCTACTGATGGAAACTTAAGTTGCTTCCATTTCTTGGCTATTGTAAATCATGCTGCAGTAAAAATAGGGGTGCATATGTATTTTTGAAACTGGGCTCCTGCATTCTTAGGGCAAATTCCTAGGAGTGGAATTCCTGGGTCATATGGTATTTCTATTTTGAGTTTTTTGAGGAACTTCCATACTGCTTTCCACAATGGTTGAACTAATGTACATTCCCACCAGCAGTGTAGGAGGGTCCCCTTTCTCCACATCCTCGCCAGCATTTGTTGTTCCTAGTCTTTTCTGTGTTGGCCATCCTAACTGGTGTGAGGTGATATCTCATTGTGGTTTTAATTTGCATTTCCCTGATAATTAGCGAAGTGTAGCACCTTTTCATGTGCCTGTTGGCTACCTGAATTTCTTCTTTGAGAAAGTGTCTGTTCATGTCCTCCACCCATTTTTTAAAAGGGTGATTTGCTTTTTGGGTGTTGAGGCATGTGAGTTCTTTATATATTTTGGATGTTAACCCCTTGTCAGATATGTCCTTTACAAATACATTCTCCCACACTGTAGGATGCCTTTTTGTTCTGTTGATGATATCCTTTGCTGTACAGAAGCTTTTTATCATGATATAGTCTCATTTGTACATTTTTTATTTTGTTTCCCTTGCCTGAGGAGATGCGTTCAGGAAAAAGTTGCTCATATTTGCATTCAAGAGATTTTTGCCTATGTTTTCTTCTAAGAGTTTTATGGTTTCATGACTTATATTCAGCTCTTTGATCCATTTTGAGCTTACTTTTGCGTATGGGGTTAGACAATAATCCAGTTTCTTCTCTTGCATGTAGCTATCCAGTTTTGCCAACATCAGCTGTTGAAGAGCTGTCATTTCCCCGTTGTATGTCCATGGCTCCTTTATGGTATATTAATTGACCATATATGCCTGGGTTTATATCTGGGCTCTCTAGTCTGTTCCATTGGCCTATGGGTCTGTTCTTGTGCCAGTACCAAATTGTCTTGATTACTGTGGCTTTGTAGTAGTGCTTGAAGTCGGGGAGCATAATCCCCCCAGCTTTATTCTTCCTTCTCAGGATTCTTTGGCTATTCGGGATCTTTTGTGGTTCCATATGAATTTTAAAACTATTTGTTCCAGTTCGTTGAAGAATGCTGTTGGTAATTTGATAGGGATTGCATTGAATCTCTAGATTTCTTTAGGCAGGCTGGCCGTTTTGACAATATTAATTCCTCCTAGCCAAGAGCATGGGATGAGTTTCCATTTGTTAGTGTCATCTTTAATTTCTCTTAGAGTGTCTTGTAGTTTTGAGGGTATAGGTTTTTCACTTCCTTGGTTGGGTTTATTCCTAGGTATTTTATTCTTTTTGATGCAATTGTGAATGGAATTGTTTTCCTGATTTCTCTTTCTGCTAGCTCATCGTTAGTGTATAGGAATGGAACAGATTTCTGCATATTAATTTTGTATCCTACAACTTTGCTGAATTCAGATATTAGATCTAGTACTTTTGGAATGGATTCTTTAGGGTTTTTTACGTACAATATCATGTCATCTGCAAACAGGGACAGTTTAACTTCTTCTTTGCCAATCTGGATTCCTTGTATTTCTTTGTGTTGTCTGATTGCAGTAGCTAGGACCTCCAGTACTATGTTGAAAAGAAGTGGGGAGAGTGGGCATCCTTGTCTTGTTCCCAATCTTAAAGGAAAAGCTTTCACCTTCCTGCTGTTAAGTATAATGTTGGCTGTGAGTTTGTCATATATGACCTTTATTATGTTGAGGTACTTGCCCTTTATACTGATTTTGTTGAGAGTTTTTATCATGAATGGATGTTGAATTTTGTCAAATGCTTTTTCGGCGTCTAAGGAGATGATCATGTGGTTTTCCTTCTTTTTGTTGATTTGGTGGATGATGGTGATGGATTTTCAAATGTTGTACCAGCCTTGCCTCCCTGGAATAAATTCTACTGATCACAATGTAAATCTTTTTGATGTATTTTTTAATTTGGTTTGCTGATATTTTGTTGAGTATTTTTGCATCTATGTTCATCAGCGATATTGTTCTGTAATTTTCTTTTTTTATGGTGTCTTCGTCTAGTTTTGATATTAGAGTGATGCTGGCCTTGTAGAATGAGTTTGGAAGTATTCCCTCCTACTCTTTAGAAAACTTTAAGGAGGAGGGTATTAGGTCTTCACTAAATGTTTGATAAAATTCAGCAGCAAAACCATCTGGTTCAGGAGTTTTGTTCTTAGGTAGTTTTTTGATTACTAATTCTATTTTGTTGCTTTTAATTGTCTATTCAGATTTTCTGTGTCTTACTGGGTCAGCCTTGGAAGGTTGTATTTTCCTAGAAAGTTGTTCATTTCTTCTAGTTTATCCAGTTTGTTAGCATATTATTTTTCATAGTATTCTCTCGTAATTTGTATTTCTGTGTTGTCAATAGTGATCTTTTCTTCCTCATTTCTGATTCTGTTTATGTGTGTAGACTCTCTTGTGTTCTTGATAAGTCTGGCTAGGAGTTTATCTATTTTGTTTATTTTCTCAAAGAACCAGCTCCTGCTTTCATTGATTCTTTCTATTGCTATATTCTTCTCAGTTTTATTTATTTCTGCTCTAATTTTCATTATGTCCCTTCTTCTACTGATGTTGGGCCTCATTTGTTCTTTTTTTTCTAGTTTTGTTAATTGTGAGTTTAGATTGTTCATTTGGGATTGTTCTTCCTTCCTGAGGTAGTCCTGTATTGCAGTATACTTCCCTCTTAGCGTGGCCTTCACTGTGTCACACAGATTTTTGCGGTGTTGAATTATTGTTGTCATTTGTCTTCATATATTGCTTGATCTCTGTTTTTATTTGGTCATTGATCCATTGATTATTTAGGAGCATGTTATTAAGCCTCCATGTATTTGTGGGCTTTTTCATTTTCTTTGAGTAATTTATTTCTAGTTTCATACCTTTGTAATCTGAGAAGCTGGTTGGTACAATTTCAATCTTTTTTAATTTACTGAGGCTCTTTTTGTGGCCTAGTATATATGATCTATTCTTGAAAATGTTCCATATGCAGTTGAGAAGAATGTGATCCTTTTGCTTTTGGATGGAGTGTTGTGTAGATGTCTATTAGGTCCATCTCTTCTAATACGTTGTTCAGTGCCTCTGTCTCCTTACTCATTTTCTGTCTGGTTGATCTGTCCTTTTGAGTGAGTGGTGTGTTGAAGTTGTCATTGATTTTTTTATGGACAGTGATGTTGATGTGTGCCAGTTAGCTTCCTTCCCTGCTTCCCTGTCAGCCTTGCTCTTTCCATCCCTTCCTCCTCACACTTTCCTCTTCTCCTCCTCTGTCTTTGCCTTCACAAGCCCTTTATTGGCTATGTACTACTTGCCTGAGACAATGATGAAAGTAGGCTGCACAGGCCAAATCAAATTCCCATCTCTAAAATGACTGGCCCATTCCTTTTATGTATATATGTTTTGCCATTAAAGTAATTCATGAATTTTGTGATGCCTTTGGGTTCTTAGTGATTAGTTCTTTAGATGTAACTTACACCATAACAAAACAGTGTCTTGTTCTTATGATTCTTGAAAGTTTATTTGTTTATTATTAGGTACATACTGCCTGCAAAGATTTATACCATCCTGTATGTCCACTTGGCCAGTGTAAAGTGTCTATCATACCTCCAATTGCACTGAACAGCACCGATTCTGATGGTATGTAATAGTAGCATGAGTATGTATATTCCTGGCATGCTGAATGCTGGTATGTATATTTATTTTTCCTAGAATAAATAGAACTGTAGTTGGTTAATCTGGTCAGTTTTTTTAATAATTCCATTTTTAATTCTGAACAGTACATTTAATTTTTAAATGAACATTTTAAATACATTGGTGAAAGTATTGTAAGTAGTACATAGATTTTGCAAATCAACAGATGAAAGAAGATCATGACTGTGTAATGAAATGCCATCTGAAAGTGTTCTTTTCTATGTAACTAAAACTGCCCACTAGCATAGCTCTTATTGAGATCGTTTTTCCTATATTTTCAGTGCAGAAATTTATGTTTATAAATTCATTCACTTTTCCAGAATCTTACAACCTAGTTGTAGGTGCTGAGAACCTGTTTATGATACAGGTTTTGGGATAGCACACCAGTAACTTCTTTCTAAGCAAACTATTTACAAAAGGCTTTTTCCATATACTATTATTAATGTTTTGTACTGATAAAGTTCCTTGTGCTTTCCAAACTTTTAATATAGATTATACCAGTAGGTAACACAGATATAAGGAAATAAAGTGCAAAGATGTGATTTGGTTTTTTTAAACCTGTGCTATAAACAAGCATCACCTCCAGATTTAATATATAAATCAGTTATTCATTATAAATTTTAAAAATGTTCTAAGGCCTCATCAAGGAATACTTAAAATATTTTATAATCTTGAGTATGAACATGAATTCTTTCACAAGTATGAATTTATGAACTCTTGTTTCTTTTTTAATTATTGTTAATGCAGGTAATATAGCTTCAACTATCTGACTTTTACCATCATTGGTGGTTTTTCATTTTAAAGCATATTTGAAAAGATAAGTTCTATAGTCATCATGTGTAAAGAATAATCCTCTCTCCATTTGGGGGGCTACATTATAACATTGTTAAAGTAATAAACAATGGTCTTTATCAATTTATCTTATTTTCTCTGAAGTTTTGTTTATAGTTGAAAAGAGAAAGCTGTATATATTGATCTTGTACTGTGTTCTTTTTTATAGGTTTCTGTAGAGCAACGTTTTCATTCTGTGTTAGTCCTCTGTTGGTTTTCGTCAATTCTAAGAGTGGAGATAATCAGGGAGTGAGGTTTCTTCGTCGATTTAAGCAGTTGCTAAATCCAGCTCAGGTGTTTGATTTAATGAATGGAGGTCCTTATTTAGGGTAATTGATTTTGTTGTTTTACTTGTTTTGTGGGGGGTTTTGTTATGTTATTTTTTATTGAAATATAATTGATATCCAATATTATATTGGTTTCAGATATACAACATAGCGGTTCAACAGTTACACACATTACTAAATGCTCAACACAATATGTGTAGTTACCATCTGTCAATGTACAAAGATATTGGAATATGATTGACTGTATTCCCCATGCTATGGTTTCATCCCCATGATTAATTTATAATTGGAGGTTTGTATAGGGTAGTTGATTATTGATAAATCTTATTTGAATGAAAGGTAATATTGACCATGAAATATGTTTGGACTTAACCAGTTCATGAAAATTATAGGTTCATCTAGACATCTCTGTGTTGATCTTCTCATCCATCCCTTTCTTAAGACTCTTAATTATGTTTTGACATGACCTTTTTTATATTTATATAACTTCTTTAATGTGTTGAAAATTCCAAAATGTGTTTAGAAAATATTTTAGAATATATCCTATGTTAAATACTAACAGTTTGCTGAGCTCTAAGAAAGATAAATTTTATTAAGATAGAGATACAAAATAAGTTCAGAAAATAATTTGTATGGAAGGCTATTATTGATTTTTATATAATACAAATAATCAGTTATTTAACTGAAGCGCAGATACTATCATGTGTCTCACAGCCATTTCCTCAAAGAATTTCAGACTCAGTTTACATAAATGCCAAAAGTGCTTTTATTGATTGTTCAGTTTCAGCTTTCTCGAATGTCTTATAACTTAAAATTAAATAAAAAATTTTTTTCAATAAGGGAAAATATGCCTTAAGGCAGTTTTAATACACTTAAATTTAAAATGGTTTTTGTTGAAAAGGTGGTATTGTATCATCTGAACCAGAGGCCTGCAATCTCTTCTGCCACTTTATGATCACTTCTGCCATACCAGCTTTTCTTGGGTTCCACAATTACCTTGCAGCATGAACACAGAAGTAGAAGTGGGGACTTTAGACACTACTGCCTGAAAAGGCCCCATCTGTATTATAATTTACCAGTTCCCTGTCCTCTCTCTTTCTCTCATCAGTTTCTCTGTGCCTCTTTTTACTTTTGTCCCTGCAGGGTCTTCCTTCTTAATCTCCATTGCCTTTTTCTTGCTGAGTCCCAGGCCCTCTGGTCCCGTGGGGATTGGTCTTCATGGGCATCTGCCTCCTCCCTCACCTGCTTGTACCTCCCTCCCCCTCCCTTTGGGTCCCGGCACGCCCTCAGCAAGCCTCTCTTCTCCCCTTTGTCTGCTCTGTTGCTGGTGAGCTTTGTCTCCCTTTCTAGCACATCTGTTTTATAATCTGTCATAGTTCTAATATCTTATATTCTTTCATTTTTACCACCCACCCTCTAAGAATCCAGGCAACTCCCTTTCTGAAACTTCTTGAGATTGTCTCTGTTATCATAGCTTGTAGATTTTCCACAATACTTGACGTGTTCAAAGGTACATTCAGGAGGTGGGATGTGTCATAAGTTGAGATGAAGGAAGATAGAATTAAAAAGATTGACCTGAGAAAAGGAGAGAAAAAGTAAGAACTGACTGGAACTAAAACTGAGCCATTCACAAGGTTGGGCAGGTCTCTTCAGGAGCTGCCCTGAGTGTCACTCAGTAGCCCCAGTGCCCCAGGTTCTCCACCCCTGGTTTGTAATTTGCTGTTTGTAAGGATATAACATATCCTTGTAATGGGAAGAGAAAACTCCTTACTTCTGCCATCTCCCCTGTATCACTCCCCTTTCATCCTCTTTCCTGGGTTCTGCTTGCTTTCTTATTTCTCTATCCTCTTTCTCCTAATTTTATTTCCATGTCTTCTTTATGACCAAGAAGTTTTCTTGAGTTAAAAATTGCACTCAAATTAATTTTTATAGAATAATGTATATCTAAGTAAAGGTTCTTAAAGTAAGTCTGAACATGAATACCAGTAAATACACAACAGCAAAGAACTGGAAAAAGTGACTTTATGTTAATTTATATTAAAATGTGATATTTTTTACTTTCAGTCTAAGATTATTCCAAAAGTTTGACAATTTCCGGATTCTTGTTTGTGGAGGAGATGGAAGTGTAGGTTGGGTTTTGTCCGAAATTGATAAGCTCAACTTGAATAAACAGGCAAGTAGTAATTCTTTACATCGCTAATGAACACTATGACTCTGTAGTGACCTGTGGAAAGTGTGGGAATGTCATGGTCCCTACTTCTCAACTCGTCTGTGGTCTCCCTGTTGTTTTCTCTTGCAGTGCCAGCTGGGAGTGTTGCCCTTGGGCACAGGAAATGACCTTGCCCGGGTTCTTGGCTGGGGAGGTTCCTACGATGATGACACCCAACTTCCTCAGATTCTGGAGAAGCTGGAACGAGCCAGTACTAAAATGTTGGACAGGTAAAAGCAAATTCTCCTTTAAAACTAGATGGAAAATAGCACACTGAAACCAATTTTTGGTAACTTAAGATGTTACTGACTGAAAGTCCCGTGAGGACAGAGACTTGTCCACCCTCCCACCCTGACGTCCAGAGCAGAGCGTGGCATAGTGCAGACACTTAGTAAATCTATCTTTTGCATAAATGAATGAATTGCAGCAAAAACTGAGAAAACTAGTTGAATGAACCTATTATTTTCAAGATAGAAGGCTGTGTTGATACAGCAATTACTTTTAATTGCTGCACAGCTCAGAAAGCTTAAATAGTTAATTTTATGGGGTGCTTTTGGTGAGTATAATGGGTTTGGCCCCATCATCTTATGGTTTCATTAAAGCTAAGAAACATATAAATTTTAGATTTGTTAGAATATTTCTTCTTAGTTATACATATTAAGAATGAATTGAACCAACAAAGAACTAAATGCTAAAAAAGATAAACCTTTCCCAGGGTGGGGAAGGAGCAGGAAGACTGTTTCATATGAAGGAACTCTCACTGTGCCGCAGTACCCAGATCATACCTCCTAACAGCTTTCTCTATCAGTGCCCCGTTTATAAAACAGAAATCACAATGTGTGTACCCTGAGTATTGTAGAGGAAGTGTTGAGAATTTGGGCATAGGGAACAATAGGACTCAGTAAGCAGTAACCTTGCCCCTCAAAAAGGAGAACAGAAATGTCAAAATATCATTACAAGCTTGAGCTAGCACAAATCAGAACAGCTTTGATAGGATTAGCCATCTGTGAAATTGTTCCTGAAAATAACAAAATCTCATGAGGGAGCCACCAATCCAAAATGTAATTACTCTCGGATGAGCTATAACTTAATTAGTTGTAACTTTGCCTGTCATAAGGCAATGTTGTAATGGTTGATCCTTTTGCTGACAGAATATATTAAAAGAAACCTGGACTGCAGAACGATTACCTGTGTTTATCCAAAATTATTCATGAGAGGGATATGATATTCCAATAGTTTAGGTATTAAGTGGATTCAGTGTCCAGTTTCTGAAAGAGCCTTGAGTAATTTCCTAGACAGCTGCACAGCTCTTCGCTTACCAAACCACATGGGCTATTGTAAATGGCTTTTTGTTGATATTTTAAATACCACTCTTGTTGCATCCTGGGAAATGCTGCTAGGGATTTCCTCTGCCCTGGCTGAGTGCTTTTCCCTTGTGTTTTAGAAAAAGTAACTTCCTCCTGTGGTTAGCAGGGAAACAGCGCCCCTGTGGTGAAAGTCCTTGATACAGACCTGCAAAAAAACAAGAAAAAAAAAAAATCAAGGGAGATTTAAAAACCTGGGACCATTATTAGATATAGAAGAATATTTTGTTCCTGTGTTTTACTAATTTAAGAATACTGTTTGTACAGTGTAGCACAGAGAAGGCAAACAATGAATCTGTGGCATCTTAGTACACTGATGGACAGTGACTGCACTGGGGTATGGGTGGGGACTTGATAATATGCGTAAATGTAGTAACCGCATTGTTTTTTTCATGTGAAACCTTCATAAGAGTGTATATAAATAATACCTTAATAAAAAATTTTAAAAAATACTGTTTGTAAGAAATAGGTAAAAAAAATCTGTTTAATCATATTCCAAATTACATGAGCTTTTTCATAGAAATCAATTGATCTGATCCTCAAAACAGTGCTTAGGGGTGGCTAAGACAAGCATTATTATGACTTGTCTGCAAAGATGAAAATTGAGGCTTGTGGAGACAGTAAGAGTGGCTCATACTTTTTATCTACCTGGCATTCTTAGTTACTTTACGTGATGAAGTACCATCTTTTTATTATCACTACGCACCTAAAGATAGCTGATATTATAGTGTCCATCTTACAGGTAAAGAGTTCAGAAGGTTTTTGTATTACCAGTGTCACATAGCTAATTAAGTGGTGGAACTGGCACTCTGCGCTGAATCCAGAATCTAGTTGCTAGGTCTTCCCTCGACATTGTACTCTCCTCATTAATGCACATACGCACCAGATGGGGCCTAACCTTTTGGTCTCTAACTCTGCTTAGCTAGTACCAGTATGTATCCTTTCCTGGCTTGTGCTGCCACTTTCTCCTTTTTCTTCAGCTCCAACAATCTCTTATCAGCGGAGGTGGTACAGCATGGAAGGTGCAAGGAACTTAAGATATTTGAGTGGATCTCTTTCCTATTTCTTTAACTGTCATTTGACCAGAGAAGTATTTCTAGCTGTAAGGAACTTGACTTTCATGTTTTCAATTGTGGTTCTCCCTATATGTATATTTATAAACTGTAATTATTTTGTGTGTTGCTTGTTTTGTAGCTGTTTTCTGCACTAGAGTGTAAGCTTCATTAGGAAAGTCTTACTCACCACTGTATTCTCAGACCCTGGAATTCTTACTGTTGCTTTGAGAGGTCCAATAAATATCTGTTGCATGGATGAATGAATGAATGAATGAATGGCTTTTTTTGTGCTCAAATATGTATTTGTAGTATATTCATGTCAAGAGTTGAATAGTAGCTTTAAGTAATTATTCACTTTATACATCTTAACATTCCTTATGTCTTGGGGGATTTTCTGGGAATTTGAGTTTTTATGCAAAGACTTATTAGTCTAAACGATGTATTAGGCTCTACGTAAATACTGATGCTAATCTTGGGATTCTCCTGTAGGTTCTATCACTGGCTTCAACTGTGATACGCTTTTCTTAAAATTCATGTGTTACAGTACTGCTTTTATTATGCTTTGTGTCTTTATAAAATCTTTATTTCACATCCTGTTACTGATAACCATAATGTCCCTACCAAATTGTTCTTCACAAATTTTGAAATTATTATTTTAGATAGAAGACTGGATTTATCTAGAGTTGATTGCTTTTCTCTAATATCAAATGAGTCAATGGTTAGTTTGAAATTAATATACAGCTAATTGAAATAAATTTGCTTCAATTAAGTATTTTTTCTATTAATATTTTCCTTTCTTTCCCATGCTTACTTTCTTTCTTAATTTTAGAATGGATACTTAGCTAATTTTCATTTCACGTGTATATAGTCTGACTTGACAAGACTGATTGTTGTATGGAAAATAATTTATATTCTATAGGTAGATGTATTTATTTAATCTAAGACATTGTTTTAGAACTTTGGGTTGTGACACATTAGTAACTTAGATAATTTAGTTAGTAAATTGCAGCAAGCATTATTTAAAGAGTGAAACAGTGAAAAGAGTTTAGAAAAGTCAGACTGCATTGCGCCTGATGAAGAGAAAATCTCGTGACATACGTGCATTTCTTATTGTGGGTTGTGGCCTTAAAAAAGTTTGGAGGTCATTAATCAGAGAATTGGTAAGATGTGGAAATCTTAAATTATGAATTCAGCCTTTTATGAGATTACTAAAATTCCATCTCTTTCCCCATAGTTGGTTGTTTTAGATATAGTAAAGCATAGTTCATGAATATTTGTGCATATGTATGTATATGAGGTGAGGAAAAGTCAGTTGATTAAATTTTAAAGGAATTTTAGACCAAAGATCTTTCTCCCTTCAGGTGGAGTATAATGACCTATGAACTCAAATTGCCACCAAAGGCTTCTCTACTTCCAGAACCTCCAGAAGCATCTGAAGAATTTTATGTAAGACTTTAACCCTTTACCTGTTTCATTTGAAAATAGGTGTGAATATCTTGAACACATAAGAAAACTTGTAAGATATGGTAGCATATTTACTGAATTATATTTTTTGTTAATTGGTATGGACTTATTGACTACTTCCAGTCCTCTCCCCAAGAAGAAAGAGTTCTTACCATCTGGGTTAGAGTCCTTCCATGACCGCCTACCCTGGGAGTGTGAACCTAGCCTTGTCACCTGCCTTGGTGGGCCTCCATTGCTTCATCTGTGGAGGGAGGCAACAGTGTTGTGAGGATGAAGTGAGGTCACATTTGTGGGTACAGCACCAGGCATGCAAGTTCCCCTTCTCTTGCTCCTGAGAGTTCTCTCCAAATATTCCACCTGCCTGCTTTCTCTTACCAACAGGCCTCCAGAGAAAGACAGCTGATGACAGGTTCCTTTTAGCTTGTACTCACCTTCTGCTTCAGCCATGAGCACTTGCTTAGTTATTAGGTGTTAGCCCAGCTCCATTAAACAATCTCCGAACACACCAATACTTGTGGCCAGAATTTCTTTTTTCCTGCTTTGCCTGCTCTGTTGAGGGTTCATCAGAACAGGTCTCCAGGTTAATCCTGTTGGTCAAGATAAAACAAAGAAACAAAGAGCCCTTCATTCCATCCCTGCTGCAGACCATTAATAACTACAGCTTTTAGGTGTTCTTAAAAATTCAGCACTCTTATTAAACCTCAGAGCACTGGAGATTGAAAATAGAACCTAATTTTCAAAAGATTATTCTCTGACTCAGATCATTTGATCTAGGATAGCTTATTTTTCCTTCTAGGAAAATTCATCTTTTTATTTTACAGTTGAAATCTTTGTTTTGTCATTAAGAAAAATTATGATCCTGTCAAAACTAAGAAAAGGAATGATAGCTAGAAAGATAGGGCTATTCCTTAAAGAGGCAATTGTACTTTAAAATTTTTTTCTAATATGAAAGTAGCAAAAACTGCCTCTAAAAACTTTGGAAAATACAAAAGAGAAATAAAATCTTATAGTTCTGCCATGTAGAGATAATACTACTAAAAATTGATATATTTACTACTTTATTTCTAGCAACATTTTATTTATATTATTTTATCCAACTATAAATGTAGTAGATATTTTTATAGGAACCAGTCTTTTTTCTTAATAGTATTTTTGTAATGTTCTTTTTTCCTCAAAGAGACAAAAAGTAGAATTCTTTTGCTCTGCTTATTTCAGAGATGTCTTTTTCCTCCCATATAAAGATAGACAATTTACTTTTATCACAAATATATAGTCAGTAAATATGAGATACAATTGTAACCTCTTTTATTGGTTTTGAATGAAACTTCATTTATTTTGTTTTTTTCTTAAAATATTTCACAACAAAGGGATAGCTTATGTTTAGATTACAGGTTCAGATAGTGTTCTGCATTACTGATCAGTCACCATGTGACTTTTTGCCTCAAAAACTGCAACAAAAGTGGGTTAAACCTTCCCTCTTAGGCTCAATCTAATTTTCTAGCATTTTTTTAAGAAAAAATGTCAATTTTGGACTGATGCAAAATTTTTTTCTTTTTCAATTTTCCTTAAAAGGACACAAAATGTGGTTGATCTTCCTAATTACCCTTTTAACTGTTAGCCTTCTGCTGGCATCACAGAATCATAGAGCTAAGGAATCATAACAGTTTATTGATTAATTCCTTGTGGCCATAATTAGGTAATTCTGTTTGCTGCTGTACTTTTTAAGCATTGTAAAAATAGCAATGCCATGATTTCCTTCAGTAGCAATGATTCCATTGTTTACAATCAATATTAGAGAATTCATTGTTTACATTTAATGTAAAATCCCTATGCCATTGTGTTCTTCTCTGCTCTCTGTCTTTGTGATGAATGTGTATCCCTCCATTGGCATCATGCTCAGCTTACTGCTGTTCCCACCATAGGTGTCGCTTGCCCCAAGCAGCCATCCCTCATCTCCAAGCCCTAATTCTGTCTCCTTGCTCAGTAGTTCCACAGCCTCTTTACTTGCCCTTAGGTTGGTGCTGTTGTGCTGTAAAGATCAGGCCGTGTGTATTACTTACTCACCACCAAATCATCATCTGGTATTATGACTGGCACAACATAGTTTAAAAATTCCTGTTGTTCACTTTTGGTCTATATATCAAACCCTTACAGAAGAATGGGCATCTTGGTATCAAAGCCCCGTGGCCTTGTCTATTTCTTGGAAACCAGATTCCTACTGCTTTCCAATTGAATTAAAAGCTTTTCAATGCAGAAGTCATATTTTTGGTCTCTTCGACATCTTATCCCAGTCATACTAGAAAGTCTTCAGATGCTTGCTTATTCATGCTAAGGTTATCAAAGAGAAGGTGTGAGCTGCTATACCCAGATGAACTCCCTGAAAACACAGTAGAGAATGGCCTCAAATCTCTGGAAATGAAGTTCTTACTATTAGTTTATTTTTAAATTTACTCTTACAGAAAACTTTTCTTCTCTCAATTCTGTCTGTCTTTTAGCTGCTTGGTAATGGCATGCTAAGAAGTTGTAACTTTATTCTTTCATTCATTTAACAATAGTAAGTGGCTATGGATACCTGGGACTGGAAATAAAAGACTTAACTCTGCAGCTTTAGTTAGCTTAGCCTGGTGGTTCCCAAGCTGTGTGCTGGGGTGCCTCAGGGCACCACAATGAGCTCAGAGGGCTACCATGAGATATTTTTAAATTTCAAAGAAAACACTGTAATACTTGACATCTGTTAGGCACCACCCAAACTACTAGCTTGAGGTGGTGCACAGTTTAAACATTAGGCTGCACCACATTCCTTTTGATGACACCATAGTTTTGGGAGGTTCGATTTTTAGTAGTTGCTGTGATAAAAAATGAACACTACAAAAAATTAGCGTTGGCTAGGAGATGCGGGTATTATTGTGCAATCTGATTCCAAGATTTGAGATGTATACAGTGGCCACAGATCACAAATAGTTATTTAAGAAAAAAATAAGGTGTAATTTTTTTCTTTTAATTTATATGCATTATTTTTCAAATGGTTATTAATTTGTTAGGACATAAATACATTTAATTAAATTGCTTGGGCTTAACTACTGTTAGGTATTTCTTTTGGCTTAGGGGCACTGTGACAAAATCTTTAGATGTTAAGGATGCCATGAGCCCAGAAAGTCTAGGAATCTCTGGTCTAGTGGGAGGGACAAACAAGGAAATGATCAGCAAATTTAACTTATATCAGGAAATAGTGGTTGCACAGAAGAGAGGGTATGCAAAGACTTATTAGTCTAAACGATGTATTAGGCTCTACGTAAATACTGATGCTAATCTTGGGATTCTCCTGTAGGTTCTATCACTGGCTTCAACTGTGATACGCTTTTCTTAAAATTCATGTGTTACAGTACTGCTTTTATTATGCTTTGTGTCTTTATAAAATCTTTATTTCACATCCTGTTACTGATAACCATAATGTCCCTACCAAATTGTTCTTCACAAATTTTGAAATTATTATTTTAGATAGAAGACTGGATTTATCTAGAGTTGATTGCTTTTCTCTAATATCAAATGAGTCAATGGTTAGTTTGAAATTAATATACAGCTAATTGAAATAAATTTGCTTCAATTAAGTATTTTTTCTATTAATATTTTCCTTTCTTTCCCATGCTTACTTTCTTTCTTAATTTTAGAATGGATACTTAGCTAATTTTCATTTCACGTGTATATAGTCTGACTTGACAAGACTGATTGTTGTATGGAAAATAATTTATATTCTATAGGTAGATGTATTTATTTAATCTAAGACATTGTTTTAGAACTTTGGGTTGTGACACATTAGTAACTTAGATAATTTAGTTAGTAAATTGCAGCAAGCATTATTTAAAGAGTGAAACAGTGAAAAGAGTTTAGAAAAGTCAGACTGCATTGCGCCTGATGAAGAGAAAATCTCGTGACATACGTGCATTTCTTATTGTGGGTTGTGGCCTTAAAAAAGTTTGGAGGTCATTAATCAGAGAATTGGTAAGATGTGGAAATCTTAAATTATGAATTCAGCCTTTTATGAGATTACTAAAATTCCATCTCTTTCCCCATAGTTGGTTGTTTTAGATATAGTAAAGCATAGTTCATGAATATTTGTGCATATGTATGTATATGAGGTGAGGAAAAGTCAGTTGATTAAATTTTAAAGGAATTTTAGACCAAAGATCTTTCTCCCTTCAGGTGGAGTATAATGACCTATGAACTCAAATTGCCACCAAAGGCTTCTCTACTTCCAGAACCTCCAGAAGCATCTGAAGAATTTTATGTAAGACTTTAACCCTTTACCTGTTTCATTTGAAAATAGGTGTGAATATCTTGAACACATAAGAAAACTTGTAAGATATGGTAGCATATTTACTGAATTATATTTTTTGTTAATTGGTATGGACTTATTGACTACTTCCAGTCCTCTCCCCAAGAAGAAAGAGTTCTTACCATCTGGGTTAGAGTCCTTCCATGACCGCCTACCCTGGGAGTGTGAACCTAGCCTTGTCACCTGCCTTGGTGGGCCTCCATTGCTTCATCTGTGGAGGGAGGCAACAGTGTTGTGAGGATGAAGTGAGGTCACATTTGTGGGTACAGCACCAGGCATGCAAGTTCCCCTTCTCTTGCTCCTGAGAGTTCTCTCCAAATATTCCACCTGCCTGCTTTCTCTTACCAACAGGCCTCCAGAGAAAGACAGCTGATGACAGGTTCCTTTTAGCTTGTACTCACCTTCTGCTTCAGCCATGAGCACTTGCTTAGTTATTAGGTGTTAGCCCAGCTCCATTAAACAATCTCCGAACACACCAATACTTGTGGCCAGAATTTCTTTTTTCCTGCTTTGCCTGCTCTGTTGAGGGTTCATCAGAACAGGTCTCCAGGTTAATCCTGTTGGTCAAGATAAAACAAAGAAACAAAGAGCCCTTCATTCCATCCCTGCTGCAGACCATTAATAACTACAGCTTTTAGGTGTTCTTAAA